ACTGATGAGTGCTGAGGAATTACTCAGTTGCATCAAATTGCATAACTGAGATATACCTCAGTGCATAATCAGCTACCCACATTTATCCATGGCAAGTTTTGCAAACCATAAGTACCACATTTTTCCGTGTATAAGATGCCCCCATGTATAAGATGCCCCTAATTTTCTAATCCAAAATTAAGAAATCTAAGTGGGGTTTGGAAAGGGTGGGGGGAAGGGATCAAAGCACCGCAGGATAGCTTTGATCCCTGTTTTCCACACTACTTGTTTTTGTTCTCTCCTCAGCTTATGTCTGTATATGAGATGACCCTCAATTTTTAGTCTAAAGATTTTAGACAAAAGTAGAGTCTTATACATGGAAAAATATGGTAAATGCCAATAGGACTGTGGTCTTTGTGTTTAGGTACTACAAACAACAGGCATCATCTTTGAATTGGTATAGTAGTTTAGAATTGTTTCATTTGTTTTAAAATTTTCATTCTTTTACATGTTTAAGGTTCGGCAATTCACCTCCCGAAGACATTCTGCTTGTGCTATGCCAACATAATTATACAAAAGGATTTTGGCCAATAAGGCGGGAAAAAGTGGGAGGCAGTAGGAAAGGAGGAAGACCAAACATAAGAAGAATTTACTCAACAAAGCAAGTGACGGCCTTGAATTTTCAAGAACTAAGCCAGGGCTGATGGAGATAGAACCATTGGAGGTATTTCATTCGTAAGGTCAGCCTTAAGTCTGATGTCACTTGAGAACACAATAACATGTTTAAGGTATTTGTCTATCATTGGAAAGGGGGCCAAACTGAATCTCATATTACATTTCCAGACCTTGTTGAGGCCACCTGTACCTCTTTTAGGATGTTGTGATAGATTGGAATTGCCAGTTGCAAAATACAACATTAGTGGTATCAGATTATTTTGACTCATTTTTATAATACATTTATACCTTTGGCCCCATCCTTGGCATTTATATTGCTCATCTCATTTGCAAATACATCCCTCTGTGTTCAGTAAGCCTTGTCTGCAGCAACTGTGGATTGCATGGTTTTTTTAACCAGAAGGTGTACAGTGTTTTGTTATTGTGCAGTATCATTGTTCTGTAATGCTGACCACTGTTATTCTCTGTTTGTGGCTAGAAAACAGTCCAGGTTTTCCAATCAATGTATCAATGATTTGAGCAAAGTTGCTCTCACATTGAACATTTTTAGAGAATGTAGCTTGCTCTACTCAGACTGAAAAGTTGCTGAATGTATAGATTTGAACTTCTATAGCATACAACCTTTGAAACTAGCTTTTTTCTGTTATGTTTTTCTGTTATGGATCTGTCCGATGATGCTTAGCATCTTCCTTCATTTAAAATATTTTTAAATGATGTTAGTTTTTTCAAGAGGAATGGGTGTTTTTATACCAGTGGAAGATCATCCATCAGCAGGATTCTAATTAATAATGTGATGAGTAGTTTAAAAATTCCTTATATTTTTCTGAGTCTCTCATGTTGAGACTCCTTAATCAGACTTCTCCCCGGATTGGCAAGATTTCCCAGGTTTCCACAAAGATGAGGAAACATTTTCCTATTTTTCTATTACTTTTTATTTTTCACCTGTTCTTTTTTTACCAAAAAAAGTTTCAAAGTGTATACAACATAATGCCCTTTCTGGTGAATCCTGCACAAGAATGTGTCATATATTTTTTTGCAGGAACTGTAGTAACCTTGTGTACCTTGTTATTTATTCTCTGGGAAGATAACCACAAAACATATGAAAAATCCTGCGAGCTTTCCATGAGATTTCTTTTGAATGGGGAAATGTTATATGCAGGGAAATCTCACTGTGATGAGAAAAGAAGATGTGTGTTTTTTTCTCAGTTTGTCACCAAGATCAAGAGACTGTGAGATTCACTAAAACAGAGCTTTTGTTTCTAAAATTCACACTTTTCCTTTGAAACTCATCACAGAGTCTCTACATTGCCTGTCACACTTAAATCATTTTCAACTGTTGGTGAAAGGTCACTAATATTGTTCTTGTTATTATGTGTCATCAAGTCATTTCTGAATGACTGGCCTCCAAAACTGTAATGTAAAGAAAACTGTGTGAAATGAAACCTCACTAATAAGACACCAATTTAAAAATGATTACTATAATTTTAATCAAAGTGCAATCCACCCCATCCAATAATGTAAAACTATGACCTATACACTTGTTCAGTTTGCTGTCTAGGTTCCAACTGCTGGTGAGGAGCTTCAAGAGGCCTGCTGTCCTTTATTCTGGTCCTTTATCTTTAAACTGTGGTGAGACTGGGTGCTCTTTGCCCTGAAGATGACTTCTTCACTGTAAAGTAGAGCACATAGCCATTCTAGGGCTGATCACAGCAACTCCCAGGAACCCCAGTCAGCACAGCGGGCAGTGCAGTTAAAGAACACCTATGTGACCGGATTCGTTAAACAATTTGAACAATTCCTCTTTTTCAGCAGGAAAAAATAACAGAGTCTCTTTTTGCTTGTTTAACTTTTTATTTGGTTTAACAGTAGGAGAATCAACAATTATTTCTATGGGGCCAAACGACTTAACATTCAACAGAGGTTCTCTCTTAAACAACGTCAACTTTTTATTTAGTCTCTCATTATTCAGTTCTGGGCTGGCCCGAAGCATTTCTGATCGGTGGGCTTCCTCAAAGGTGCGCTCAGGACTGCACATATAGTCTCGCAACAGGGGTGGCAGACCCAGTCCCCCTCCAGACAGTGACTAGTATGAAGAGGTCCCAGCCGGACCACCTCCTCCAGGGACCATAGCTTTGAGGAAAAACTATCACGGTCCATTCCAGTGGATCTGGTGTTGCGTCGCCCAGTTTCGCCTCCGGTGGATCTGGTAGCAGGCCCCCCACTTTCAAATTGGGAAAATCCTCCAGTAACTTACGCATCTTATTATACACACCTTCTTTCTCCTTTCGCTCTTTCCTTTCCCCTTCCTTTTCCAATCCCGACTTCAAATTTATTCTAAACACTCTCATTTCACTTCCATCCTCCTCCTTTTCTTCCTCCCAGACTGACAACAACTCCTCTTTTTGCCTCCTTTTTTCTCCTTCGCCAAACAACTCTCCACCTCCCTTTTCCTCATGCTTGACCACTCCCTCTTTTCTCCCTCAGTATTTGACTCCTTTCCTTTCTCAGTCACCCCCTTCTCCATATCCTCTTTTGCTTCAGTCTTCATGGTTTGAGGGAATGACTCACTCACTGCTTTTCTTTCTACTTATCACACTTCTTCCCAACCTAGGTTACCCAAGGTTGGGAACCACTACTCTAAAGCAAGAATCCCAGAAGTAGAAGAACATGGAAAATGTGATTTTTCTAATGGTCTTTTTTATTTTTATTCTCTTGACAGTATGTCCACTCCAATGAGCAGAAACATGTCTTAATTTTCAAACAGTTGCCCTAACTAAACCAAGCAGCACACGATTTTAAAACATCTCTAAGATAATACCATCAAAGACGACCTCTAGCTTCAACAAGCACAAAATGAGAAAACCCAGAAATACTCCAAAACCCAGAACAACTCCACTGAATACATACTGTCTGAAACAGGTCCTTGCTTCTAATAACTTAAAAGGACTATGTCTGTGTTTTATGCATATGTCACACATGCACATGGAAACATGCTTATGCAACACACGCAAATCCTGTTGCTTAGCATAGCCTGTCACATCTAGAGTAGACCCATTGAATCAGTGAGGATTTAGGGAGTCAACATCTGTGCAAGTTCCATTGATTCAAATGTACCTGCCCTAATTGTGACTTGATATGCAAAGCAACAGGATTTCAACCATTCGAATGTAATTTAGTAGAGCACATGAGTGATACATTTTGCTGTTTTGACTTCCAAACCTACTGTAGATGCATCTTAAAAATGAGATACTTTGGTATCTCATGAGCATCTTAAAAATGAGATACTTTGGTATCTCATGAGCATCCTGTACAATATTTAGTTTTGTTTTATAAATCCATATTTTTCTTTGACTGCTCCTGTTTTCTAATAAATGGCATACTGATGTTGTACTTTCTGAAAAAAATGTGCTGTCTTTAATAAAGATTTGGTGTTCCTGTTGATATTTCCTTATGCTCCTGAGCAGAAAGCAAGGAGAAAACAGGAATAAATGTGTCCATTGCTTTCTGCACCATCATTGTGCTCACATTCTTTGAATAAGTTCACAGAATGCCATTTGAATAAAGCCAGAACAAATTCTACTTGGGGACTGCATGGAACAAATGTGGAACAAAGAGGCTATGTTATAGCCTTTAGTGTCAGAACAATGGCTTTGTTGCTGTTTGATCTGTTTCTCGCACTTGATTTCCTTCTTTGCCCAAAAGAGCAAGTTATATTGCAGTCTGTAGCTATGTTCATTTGCTTGAACCTTGACATCCCAGTTCTGCAGAGTTAAACAGTTAATAGAGGAATCGCCCTTTGTTTTCCAAACATGGGACTCTACCAATATTTATCTTAGGGACAAAAGAAGCTGTGTATAGAGATGCAAGGATTGCTTCAGGACAGACGCAGAATGTTGGGTGTCATTAAAAATTCTAACCTCAGGCAACATTTGCCACAGCTTTTTGAAATTTGAACTGAGGCCTGTTTACAGAGCATAAAAGACATTTTGTTCAGGAACATTTGAGGGCTTGTTTTGGTATTACACAACAGGCTTCCCAAAATGTGGCTAAACAGTAATATTAGGTGGCATAAAGGAAACTCTAAAATTCAGAGTAATGGATGTGACAAAAATCATAGTGACCTAGACTGAAGATAGTCTTCAGTTACAATACTGTATTAACTGATGAGGTAACTCACAACTTTAGTGGAGAGGCAAAGAAAAAAAGACAGGGATAAACAAGCAGAAAATACAACTAGAAATAACTGTTGTACCATCGTCAAGACACCTGAACTTACTTCAGAAGAGAGATTAGAGGAAACACACATTTATTATTTTTTAATTTGACATTGGTTTATTCTCTGGAGATCTAAGATAACTATTAATCACAGAAATACAGGTTTGCACAATTGCCAGAGAGTTCCAGTGAGTTTCAGTGAGCAGACTGGGGTGGAAGATTGCTGGAGACGGTGGGCAGAATATGGATCCATCCTGCTTTGGGCTGCCAAAACAACAATATCCCAGTGCCTGAAATTCCGGGGTCAAATTCTGAGACCAAGAGGCAGGCCCCTGTGATGACTGATTGCTTGTGTTTGTTTTACAGGTTGCTTCCAAGTCCTGTTCAATATAGGTCCAAAAGTTTGGGTCCTGGTAGAAAGAAAGGTGAGATTGTAGCTGCACATGAGAGTCTTACGAGTGGGACAGAAAGCTACACGATCCCTTGTGAAGTCAAACAAGCAAAAGCCACAAAGATACTGAAGCTAAAGGAAAAAAAACAAGGTTATAATAACATGTACCAACTAAAGCCTTCCTGGCTTTAGTGTACATGTTCAGAAACAAAATTAAACAAAACAAAGGCAAAAATAAGTCCTTTGCTGGCAACTGGCCAATGAAACCTAGCAGTCCAGGGATTCTGTTGCAACAGGAAATGAATCCCTAAGTTTCAGCTGTGCCTGAATACAGGAGACAGACTGTAACCCTATGCTAAGCCCTAACTCTAGTAAAGAGCCCTAGCAAACCATATTGAGGAATTGGTCACATCCAGTAGATCAACAGTTCTGCACCCCTTGGGTGCCCAGAAGTTCTTGGACTACAACTCCTAGAAATCATGGCTACCACAGCTGGTGGCAAAGGCTTATGGGAATTTAGTCCAAGAACATTTGGGGACCCAAGGTTGGGAACCACTAGCCTAGGCCACTGATGGCCCCGATGCTTAAAAGCCTAAATTTAAACCAATATAAAATTATACTAAATCTAAAAAAGGAGAAATCCTTGAAGCAGCTGGGTTTTCCAAGGAACGTCTTAAGCGTATTCACGAAGGAACTTCTTAGGCATTGCACAAATGATCTCACATAGTTCTTGCTCAACAAGTTTCCTTTGCTTTGGCACATTGTAGATAATTATTGTCAGTACTGGGGCCTTTAGCAACAGCATCCACCATGATAGACAGCATCAACATCATCTTATTGCCACAGAAAGAATGCTCGCTAATTAGCAGTTAGTTTGTAATGATATGCTTCTAAATCAATGTTACAACATTTGACAAAAAGTTGAACCATCTAAACATGAATTTAATAATGAGCTTCTTAAAACAAAGGTCAGTATCTTATTGTTTAAACCAGTAGTTCCTAACCAGATATTCTTGGACTAAAACTCCCAGAAACTTTCTCTGCTAGCGGTGGTGGGCAAGATTTGGGGAACTGGAGTCCTAAGACTGGGGACCCAAGATTGGGAACCACTAGTCTAAACACAGAGCAGAAAGGTGATCATATAAAATGTTCCATCTCTTGCAGATTTCCTATTGACAACCAATCTCCCTAGGGGTATGAGAACATGCAAGGACTGGGAGCCTGCCAGAGCTGGGGGAATGCTTTTGTGATTGCCCATCCCTACTGTTTATATAATAGGATACTGGCCGAAAAGGAAAGAAAGAACAGGCATTTTCGTTTGGCCATAAGAAACAGCACCACACATAGATGATTTCAACAATCACTGTTCATTAAAACAGATGTAAACATACAAATCATTTCATTGGCTCTGCTTCCTATCAGGTTTTGCTTCTGTGGGTTTTGCTGCCACCATTGCTAATATCCTTGGGAGAGCTATTTTGCTTCAGCTTACCTTTTGCACTGCAGCCATTAACCGCAGATGGCATTTTCAATCAGCTTCCCTATCAAAAAGCAGGGGTTTTTTTTTCTCTCTCTCTATCAATTCCATCTCTTCTAGGAAAAGCACCTTCTGCCACCTATCATCACCCTTAAAATTTGAGATGCTCTCACAAGCACTGTTTTGCTACCTCTGTGTTGGCCTTCACCCAAATGATGAAAACCTCCTTTTTTCAGAGAATTCTTTAGCTATTCATCATATATTTATTTGTTCTATTTTATGGGTGCCTATTGTGTATATTGTGTCAATATATATATTGAATTCCATGTCTATTCTTATTTTTAGTAGTTTCTGCTACTAATTTTAATCAGATTTTTAATATACCTAATCTACCTCTGGGTGTGTATTGTGAATGTTTGTTTGCTTGTTTGTTTGTCTTAAACTATGAGTTGCTCTTAAGAATTATGACTAGATTGTTAGAAAAGGCATAGGGCATTCATTTGTTCAACAAATTATATCAACTATAATACTATAATAATTGCATACATTTCTCTACCTAAATTTGAAATACACCTCTGATGACAAGCAAGCTATTTGTATTATACCAATAGCTTCAGTCAGGTAGTCTACTTGGCATTACATATTTTTGTTGTGGAGGCAAAATAACTGTAAACACAAGAGTTATCAAAACAGTGAGCTTTCTTTAGCATTCAAGCCTAGCATATCATACAAATGTGGGCAATTCAGCTGTGTCAGTCCCTATTCATGTCCTCAGCCTTAAAGCTCACATGGGCAAACAGTTGTGGAAGGGGGGGTTCACAACAAGCATAGTTACATCACTCATTTGGGGGACAGATGTTGTCACTTTATCCCAAAATAACATACCTGTCATTGGGTCACCACATTTCCCATGCCCACAATTACCAGGATAAAAAAATATCCTGACCCTAGATACAAATATCATTTCTAGCCCAAGTGCCATATGACTGAGGTCATTCTTGATTTCCGTACAAATAGGTAGTGAACGACTTAGTAAAGGAAGTCATGGCCCTTACCTTGCAAGACCTGGGCAGAGCTGTTGATGACAGACCTTTTGTAGGCCATTAATTCATAGACACATTATAAGTCAGAAGTGGAATTCATACAGAGATGGACAAAAACTAACAGGAATTCCCCTTGTTTACACAAATTAAGATTTCCACATTTTTAAGGACTAATTTTGCAAACCTAAATACACTTACAGGAGAGTAAGCATAATGAATGACTTTAAAAGGATTTTCTTCTGGGTAAACTGGCCTTATTAATTGGTAGCATTAAATAGACACCATGGTGAGTTGATTTTGGTTGTCATGTTGTTGTTGTTTAGTCGTTAAGTCATATCCGACTTTTCATAACATCATGGACCAGAGCACACCAGACCCTCCTCTCTTCCACTGCCTCCTGGAGTTTGGTCAAATTCAGGTTGGTTGCTTTGATGACACTGTCCAGCCATCTTATCCTCTGTCATCCCCTTCTCTTGCCTTCACACTTTTCCAACATCAGGGTCTTTTCCAACGAGTCTTCTTTTCTCATGAGATGGCCAAAGCATTGGAGCCTCAGCTTCAGGATCTGTCCTTCCAGTGAGCACTCGGGGTTGATTTCCTTCAGAATGGATACGTTTGATCTCCTGCAGTCCAGGGTCATGACATGACAGCAAACTGTCATGCACTTAATACAGTGCTGCTGCTGCTACTGCTTTTTTCTCTCCCATGGAGAGCAATTTTCTGTCTCACATGTGAAAATACCTTGCCTAGCCTTGGATACTATGCACATTGACAGAAGTGAAGGTGGAGAAGAAATAAAACGGCTGTTTTACCTGAAGCAGTGAAATGTCTTGGGATAGCCCTAGAGCACAATGTGTAAAATTAGGCGGCAAGTCAGCATTTCTTGAGAATCTATTCCAGAAAATTCCCAGTAGTAAAGAACTATTTTAGGTTGCAGTCTTAAAAACAAATAGTACTGTAGTCAATATTTGGGAATATTGAATATTGGTACAGTAGCTAGATTCTATTGTTCTGTGTTTTTTCACTTTACATGTTCATATATTCGAAAACTCCTCTGAATTTGTCAAATGAATTATTGCATTTCTTATTATGGTAGCAACAAACGGAAGAATTGTCCATGTATATATTGTCATACTTAATATTTCTAGAGAAGTATTCAGTGACTAAACTCATAGTCTTGCAACCCCTATATATTTTTCCCCAAAAGCCTAGGACTTCCAGAAATTGCAAATCAGAGAAATAATATGAATTATAGCTAGCTACTTAAAGGAAGAAGATAGACAGACAGACAGACAGACAGAGTGAGTGAGTGAGTGAGTGAGTGAGTGAGTGAGTGAGTGAGTGAGTGAGTGAGTGAGTGAGTGAGTGAGTGAGTGCTGGGAAAAATACAGCCTGCAAAAGGTCAACAAACTCTACCCAGCCACAAGGACCAGTGATCACTGCACCCAAAAGACCAGCTAACGAGACTCATAAATTACATTGACAGATCATCTTTCCCGCTTATCACAACAATACACCCACAACTAAAAACATGTTGATCACCATAATCACCCAATCCCTGGAAAAGGAGAAAAGCTGATCCCATAACTATAAATACTCAACTATCTAAACAAACTTCACCAGAGCACAGAGTTCTGACTCCTGTCCTCTGAAGATGCCGGCTGTAGAGACTGGTGAAACGTTAGGAAGAACAACCTTCAGAACATAGCCAAAGAACCCAAAAACCCACAACAACCATCAGATCCCAGCCGTGAAAGCCTTTGAGAATACAAAAATAAGATTGTTACAGTTATCCACAATAGCTCATATTTACTGAGCAGATTGTTTTAAGAAAGCCTTATTAAGACACGTTGGCCAGAATCCTGTTTGTGATTTATGTGTGTTTAAGTTACACTATATAGCTCTCCAGGAAGGAATTGCCACTGAGATGCCAGTAACATTACAAGGCACACATGGTTTGAACTACATGTAGGCACCTAATAACACAACCAGTCATGAATTATTCAATTTAACTTAATGATAATTATGTGTTGTCTAGTCAATTCTGTCTCATGACAACACTTTCTACCATTTTTTTCAGTATAAAGTACTCAGACTTGGTTTATCATTCCCTTCTTCTCAAAGCTCCCTGGGATTGTGCAGTTTGCCCAAGGCTACACAGGCTGGTTCTTCCCCCATGACGCACATTGGGGAATCCAACTCCAAACTTTTGGCTCCACAGCCAGATACCTAACTCTCTAAGCAACTCAGCCAGCACACGTATAAATCATCAAGAGGACTCTGGCCAGTCTTATCACAATATTATAACTACAGTGGTGCCTCATTTAGCGATCGCTCCATTGAGCGATGAAATCGTTTTGCGATGGGGTTTTGGCCATCACTGGAGCGATCGCTTAGCAATGGCCCCTATGTCTAAAATTCTCTTTGCGATGATCGTGGGGAAGCTATCATGGCAAAGTGAACATTATTAAAGAGCTGATCGGCGGTTCCAAAATGGCT